CACCAAGCTATGCTAGAGCTTCATGGAATGGGTTTCCATGGCCGAACAGCTGCTCAAAAGCCTCCCATCACAAAACACAATGCCAAGTGTTGGATGGAGTGGTGTAAAACACGCCACCACTGGACTCTGGAGCAGTGGAAGTGTGTTCTGTGGAGTGATGGAACACACTTCTCTGGAAGTTTGATGGTCGAATGTGGGTTTGGCAGATGCCAGGAGACCATTGCGAGGGGCAGCACGTGGCTTGGTGGGCTCAGGAGGTCACCAGTTCCAGCCCGGCCTTGTGGGCCCTTGAGCAGGCTCCATGGGTGCCATTGTGGGTGGCTGCCCTTCACTGCCAAGCTTGCTCTTACCTGCATTTGTGTCATGGACAGCAAGATGGGATAGGCAAAAGAGAAATTCCATAGAGGGACCAGTAAAGTGTCATTACATTACCCATCTGACTGTATTGTGCCAAATGTAAAGTTTGGTGGAGGAGGAATAATGGTATCTGTTTGTTTTTCAGGGGTTGGGCTGGGCCCCTTAGGTCCAGTGAAGGGAACTCTTAATGCTTCAGCATACCAAGACACTTTGGGCAATTCTATGCTTTCAACTTTGTCAGAATTGTTTTGGGGAAGGCCCTTTTCTTTTCCAGCATGACTGTGCCCCAGTGCACAAAGCAAGATCCATAAAGACATGGTTTGGTGAGTTTGGTGTGAGAGAACTAGACTGGCCGGCACAGAGCTCTGACCCCAACCCCATCAAACACCTTTGGGATGAACTAGAACAGAAACTACAAGCCAGGCCTTCACATCCAACATCAGTGTCTGACCTCACAAATGCTCTTTTGGATGAATGGGCAAAAATTCCCACAGACACACTCCAAAATCTTGTAGAAAGCCATCCTCGAATAATGGCAGCTGTCATACCTGCAAAGGGGGGACCAACTCTATATTGATGCCTATGGCATTAGGATGGTATGTCATAAAAGTGTCTGTATGTGTAATGGCCAGGTGTCCCAATACTTTTTTCCATATGGTGTATCTATGTATGTAACAAGCCCTCAAGGCCCCCGAAGCCCTGACGTTATAGTAAGTATGTGCTCTCTTTAAGAATTATGTTTGTGTGTCTGTTTTTATTTAAATCACATGACTGGATTCTCGAACAGCACACTCTACATATAGAAAAACAAACAGATAATAAAGAACATACAAAGCTCCAAAAGACCAAAAGTATGATACATGTGCACAACAGCAAAAAGTATGTGTGGTTACAAATTATAAAGCAAATGCTTAGACGTTTAATGAATTTCTGTTGTGTAGATATTCATTCTCTTTTAAACATATGCATTTATAGCCTGTTCTAAACATTTTTTACCAATCAGTTTCAGTATAAATTAGCATCACCTTTTTAAGATAGTACCTTTGAACTGAATCAATGCAGAAAGATATGCCCAGTTTATTTCCCCATAACTTTTGACAATGTAAAACAAACATGCTGTCAATAATAATAAAAAAAAAAACTTTATTTACAAGACAACGAAAAACAAAATACATTTCCTTGGACAATATTTATTATTGTAGGTAGATGTTCCCATTGACATTATTTGCCATATATAACATCAGCTCATAGTCACTATAATTGGTTATAACAAGATCTGGATATTTTCTGTGTAATATCTCCTGGACCCCATATGACTGCCATTACAATCCAATATCACTTACCATTCCCTGCCCTTTTAACCCAACTATTAAAAACTTAACATCTCTTAGGGTATGTCTTACATATTATGGGGAGATCCTCCATTCCCATAAATGCACCACATCTGAGAACTCAACATGTCCAAATTTGCTAACATGGAATGGAAGTCCATCCTGAAAATGAATTCTATATGTTAAAGTAATTATTCTAATGTAGACGTTTTCAGTCACTTGGGTATATACTAATACTTAGCATACAATCAAGGAAAAAAAATTAAACATAATGCACAGACAAATCCTATTCCACAATTTGTATGACCAATTAGTAATTAGAATATATTCTCAATATACATTCTCAAAGTTTCTTGAATTTGGTCAGGTGTATCAATGCATAGGCTACCCCGCACAAATGAGGTCAAGTGTAATTTAGACAGTAATGACAGTTTGTAATATATGTCCCTCACTTTGTTGAGTACAGAAACATCGAAGGTTACTAGCTGTGGAACAGAGAAAAGAGTTCCACGCGGCCATTGTATACATTTTATGAACCCGCAATTTCAATAACGGAGGAAATTAAATTTTTCCCCAACATCCGCACATTAAGTTGTTTACTTTTAGCAAATAACATTTGAGACTTCTGACATATACAGGAATAACGAATACGAATTCATTAGACCTATAACTAACCATACCCTCGGACACCAAATATATGTATTGGGATCACTTTACAAAATTACGCCGTAAACCAATAAACAAACGATGCAGTCATAACAATCAACAACGTAAAACACACGTTACATACATACTAAAACACTTGTGAACTAAACGGCTTAAATTGTGCGGTGCATTTCTAAGCGCTTCATTCCTAAATTGAAACACTTCATATGGTACGCGCATGAATGCACAGTCCATCTGACAGCAATTCATGAGCCAAAATAAAGAAACACACATTTACAGGATCACCCCCTCCCACGTTCGACAAATTTCCTCTCAAATCCCATTTTCCCTGCCATATGCTGTTATCAGACTGCTTACATGTTCTTAAAAAAGCCTTTAAACCACATAGCTGAAAAATCATCTGGATCATCCATTGTCACTAGAGCCAAGCATAGGCATGAGAGTGATATACTAAACTTAGTCTAATGCCAAGGTACGCTGCTAAACTTTGACATAGACATCATTTTAAAAAAAAGTGATGCCAGGAAAAAAACCATTTAAAGGTCTGTCAAGTTCTTCACTGGGGAACAAGCTATAATCGATTTTGTAGAAAAAAGAAGCATCCTCCTGATATCGCTTCAAAATGATTTAACACCTGCTTGCAGCACATAATGTTCAGTCTTGTCCATGTTTATCTTAGTACTCCTACGATCAAACTTTCTTTCGCACCACTGCAGCGGACAGCATCCGATCCCTCTCCCGCACTTCTTCCTTTAGCCTCGCTTCCGTTACTTTCAACTGCTGGATGGTGTGCTTCATCTCCTTCATCTTAATATCCATCAGAGCGATGATGTCCCGCTGTTCATTGAGCTTCTTCAGCAGCTCGGCCGACGTAGTGCCAATGTTTAGCGAGTACGGGTGATCCAAGGCGCCCAGGGCGGAGAGGTCCGGTGTGGAGTACGGCACGATGTGCGCCGCCGGCTGCTGCGTGGCAGTGAAGCCAGCAAGGGCTGCGAAACTTGACCCCTCGATGGTTAAGCACGGACCGTCTCCCTGCGCTGTCAAGTCGACAGGCTTCGTTTCCTGGCCCTTCGGCAGCACCCTGCCACCGCTGTCGGCTTCCTCCGGGGTCTCGCCGCTGAGAGTAAAATCGGCGCCGGAGACGATTATCGGCAGGACGGCAGACACTTTCTTGCTCCTGCCTCTTCTGTTTTTCCTCTCGTTCACACCGCGCAGCGGGAACAGGGTGGGCACCCGAATGCTGTAGGTCTTCCTGCCACCAGCAAAGTGGGTACTGCATACTCGATGGCCCGTAGTGGGCTGGAAGGTGCTGAAGCAGCCGCTGACCCCGGCCCGGGAGATGTTCTTCAGCCAAATCTCTCTCTGCGCCGTATCCTTTGGAAAGGTGTAGAAGCGCAGCTCTCTGTCCCGATGCGAGTTGTTGTAACAGCCGGGGACGCAGCAGGTGAATCCGGGCATGCTTATTTACAACCCCAGGAATGTTTTATTCAGATATCTGTAATCCTGATAAAGTTTTCACTAATTTCAATTTTGTTTCGGTCCTCGGCGCTCTGTTATCTAGCCCAGCAGCCCCCAAAGCGGAACTACACGTCCCACAATGCTAACAACTTCCTGTTTTGCTGGTAAACCGAAATAGTTAACAAAAGTGAAGGGTTTTGTTCAAATTCTGCTTTTAATTGGAGTTTATAGATTAAACTCGAAATTATCGGACTTGGAAACAATTCATTTAAATATTATTTTGTATAAGGATTTTAATACATCATTGTTAGAAGTTTTTGAAAGCTATGAGCATTGTCAAGATGTCTTTCATACTATTTCAATAATAACATGAGATTGTATGGCATTGTAAACCATATGTATACAAGTTTAACATATATTTATAAATATTGTAGTTAAACAGGCATATCTACTGTAACCATTTTAAGGATTTTACTAAGAGAAACTGGAAGCTATACAGGTTTGTTATGGCAACGCACGGGCTTTTCTGACATTTTAGGACTACAACACCCATAATTCCCACCAAAAGCCCAACACACCCTCTGCAACAACTATCGCGATAACTTTCTTGAATTTATAGGCGGGAGTCAAACGTCAACAGTAGCTGCAAGAAAATAGTTTTTACGGTGTGATGTTTTGACCACTTATATCGTTAATAAGCATAAACTAATATCCGAAAACGGTAAGTCGTTAATTTGCTTATTGATCCCTTTACGTAGCAGAGGAAGTACGCAGCTAGCAATTTGAAGCCGTGCTAAAACGATAAGTTATGGGGAAGCCAGTATTCCAGGGGTGCCGAATCCTGTTCCTGGAGATCTACCACCCTGCAGACTTGATACAGATAATCAGGCCTTTCAGTTATATCTCAGTATGATAACCAGCTTAACTTCAGCTTAGCTGACTCTAATACTGAGGTGATACTGAAGTGCCTGATTATCTGTATCAGGTGTGTTAAATTAGGGCTGTACCTAAGCTCTGCAGGGTGGTAGTTCTCCAGTCCAGGAACAGGATTGAGCATCCCTGCAGTATACAGTAGCCTTAAAATAAAGGACCAAGATCCACTGCACTGTTAGATCTTTTTAATAAGTTGGGCAGTTGGTTGTTTTCGCGTCAGTGCGAAAAAGCAGATCAATCGCAGCTGTATATGCGGTGTAACTCGATAAGTGAATTTTATTATTACTACTGGATTGAAACCATTACAGTCTGCAATGGATACCATGGACGAAGACGTATCTGCCCGCGTGCTCCTGAAAGGTGTCCTTCACACGGAACTCCTGAAGACACCGATCACCCGCAGGTGAGTTATCAGCACCGGATTACTACCTTTGCCTCTCGTCAGTACTTAAAGCAGATTTGCTGCTTTGTTTGGGGAATTATATGTTGATGGTTGTTTCATCCAGGGTTTTAATTAACTCTAAAATTGATTGAATCGTTACAAAATAATTCCGATTTAACATGGCGTGGCACAACTTCCTTCCAGCATATCCAGATCCCTGCAGCAGGCGTCTGTGGTCACACGTAGTACTAGGACACGCCAGAGCATCTCTGGGATACCGTCACCTCATGTGACCCTGCGGAAGATGATGAAGGACCGGCTGCGCGAGGTCAGTCAGTGTCCCGTCCTGAAAGCAGCTGCTGCATAACTGCAAAACTGAGAGCAGCGTGCTCAGTGGGGCTGGGGCACTGGACCTGTGATTGGTCCATGCTGCTTTATTTCCCGTGGTTAGGCTCCTGAGGAAAGCCCATATGGCCAACCGACCATGGGGAACGCATGAAAACCTCACATAATGCTTGTGTTGTATTTGAGCTTCACAAGAATACAGCTAAATTATTGTTTTGTTCAGCCTACCTGGAATCTCTCTTTTTTTATGTTTTGTGCTTTGGCAGGTTTTAAAATATGCTGTTTCTCTGAAATAGATGCAGCTGAGGTGTTCAATCATTACACCTTTTTTTTTTTTTAAGCCTAACTGCAGGCATAATGGGGGAGCTGGGTGGCGAAGAACAGTGGAAATTGTGAACCGTTGAAGTAGACTGCTAACGCATATCTTTGGCTTTTATTATTATTATTACTGCAAAATAATGCTTGAAGTCAAACAGACTCGCTGACACACCATACAAAATGCACAACTTTTCACCTTTGTCTCGATACAATCATATTGAAGGCTCCACTGATCTGAAAACTTTGTTAAATAAGTGTTTCGCAATTATTACTATCCGGGATCACAGCAGGACCCCCCTGCCATGATAGCAGCGATGACGACAATGAGTCTCATGGGTATAATGTGAGACTTGATGCCTCTGAGTAACAATCTTACTGACACAAAACTGACATGATGGGCCACCTCTGTCTGTTTCCAGAGTGTCACCAGACCACCTGCCCAGCAGACAGAAGCGGCCACCTTAAATAGGAAGGGTGTCTTGTCAGCCCCAGCATCTCCTTTATCCCTAAACGATGACGTCACCCCCCGAGGTCTGCTGCGGGGAATTTTACGCACGGGTCAGTAGTTTTCCATGTAGTATCACTAATTCATGCGGTCGAAATATTAGACAAATCATATTCAAGTAGTTTTTATGTATTGATGGGAACCAAGTATAAAATCTTGCTTTTTCATTCGCTTTCATTTCACAGGCTTGTAGTTTTAACCTTTTGAAGCTGTCGTCGTCTCTTGCTTCTAAAAGGAGAATCTAATTTTGCATCCACTTCCTGTCATCTTTTTAGATAGCACTCTCATTTTCACAAATGAAAGGTGTCATGGACCATGTAACGTGACGAGAAGATGTGTGACGTACATGTAACATGGCTGTCATAGTTTGGTTTACAGGTAGCTGCTGTATGTATTGTTTACATACATGTTGCACTATATATATATATATATATATATCTCAATCAATCAATCAATCCTTGTGTCCAGCCCTCCTGTTTTGCACTCTGAGTTTTGTGAAAACCCTCCCAGCACCACCCACTGCTTGCACATCCACCGGTGGCTGTAGGGGGATGTTATTTCCTGTCACTGTATACCTGTATATAGCTGGTATGACTATAAAGCCCACTTGACTTGACTCGTATTGATTTGGCATTAGTTCATGTTCCTACACTCTCCTCTTGACTTTTACAGAAACAGAATCGTCCCCTTTGGTGCCAGAGCCGCCCGTGAGGCCAGCCGTCGGTCCCGCTGAGTCTAGCCTATACAGTAACCGGCCCAGGTATGTCAGAGTGACATGTAAGTGTTGGCCCTTCCTGTGTCCTGGTTTGGCCTTCTGTATTAACGCGCTTCCTGTTTTAATTATGAAATTAATATCGTTGGCATGGGTTAAGTGATGGTTTTTTTTTTTTTTGGATCCAATATACTTGCAGTCTTGTCAGGTCAATATTAACAGTATGGCTCTAACTATTGTACAGTACAGGGACGTCGGACCTGGACCTTCCAGATCTTACCACTGTGAACCTCACAATGGCTGTGAGGGGCATTAGCAGGAAGCGGCCCCAAAGGAACATTGACCTGTCCATGTTCGAGAGGGGGCTTGATCAGGGGGCCGGTAAAGCACTGGGGGGGGGGTGAAGTCGCCTGCTTTATTCTCTAATGTATAGCGGTAGATCTGCCTCTGTCATAAAATTTGTATGCATTTTGTTTGCTGCTTATTTTAGATGGAATTGAGGAGCCGAAGTATGACGAGGCACATGACCAATCCTCCTCGTCCCACGGATCAGATGGGTACGTCAGCCTGCGTGGTTCGAAATACTTGTAGTCTACTGTTGATGCTGTTATGGGAGCCGTCCTAGCGCCATCTGATGATCATTTCGCTATTGTTCCATGGGTGATGAGTGTCACTCATCAGCTTACGAATCTGTGCCCATATCAGCAGCAGTTATGGGTATAAATCCCCCCGATGTTCAGAGTATTTATGCTGGACCCATTATCTTAGCCCTGATCGTTCCAGGGACTGTCTGACCCGGCTCACTGATCCTGACTTGTATGTCACTTCAGACAAAAGCACCTGCAAAATAATAAATGTGATGTAAATAATTAATATCTGTATATGAAAGACACAAAAGAGCTTTAATTGTCCTGCAAAGCCACCATGATCTGTGTTAAATGCACTACTTCACTTCCGCTAGCAGGGGTTTTACATGCACTGTGGCTGGGTACCTGTGGGACAAGCCCTCTTGGCTGTTTGGTAGCAACTTGGCAACAGCGCCCTCTTTTGGTAGCTAGCTTGGCACCACCGTGCATTTTCACACCCTTTTGGAGCTTTGCAGTTTGTGGGGAAAAAGGGCACCTTCAGAGTCGTTCCCCCTCTGACCCCTTTAGCCCCAGTGTGCTCTCCCTGAAGACCCCGCATGCAGACCCCCAGACAGCGAGGAGGGGGCTAAGGAGAGCTGTCAAACGCAGGGCAGTGGACGTGGACGACTTTGAGCAGGGCGTTCAGAGTCGCCTCGCTCGTAAGCAGAAACCAGGTACCTCACTGCAGCTGGCTTCACTGTGTCCTCTGTACTTTCCCCGACACTCTTTGCACTGTCTAGCTCTTAAATCGGGAACAGCACAGGTCAGACTAGTCTCTCCCACCACGCTGCTTCTGAAACCATCAGCCTTTGTTTATGAATCTCTGGCAATAATGAGAAAAGGATGTAGGGGGGTCATTTTGAGTGCAGGGGGCTTTGATCCATGTTCAGTGCAAGGTAGAGTTTACAGCCATGACAGATACCCTACCTAACCTTTCTTTTTCCAGTAATATCAGGTCTGAAATCGCTGAAAGTACAATGACAGGACTGTGCTGGGCACCATCTCCTCAGATACCAGCTTGTAAATGTAATGGATTATTCTCCCCCACCCCCCCAGATCTGGAGCACAGTGTGGCCAGTGCCCCAGGGATGCTCAGTGAGACCAGGGGGCTGGAAAAGTTCACGCTTGGCATCACTGACCTGTCCGTGTCGGACGCGTCGGACATCATCATGAGCAGCACGGCGCTGTACCCCCACCCCGTCTCCATGCCGACGGTGGATGCTTGCTCAGTCGCTGACAAGGACACTGTCACTGCCACGCAGATCCAGAGAGATGTGGAGGGAGGCGCTGGGCCACTAGGGGAGGGAGAGCAGGGGGAGAATCGTGGCTCCCTGTGGCTTATGGCTGGTGAGGTAGAGGAGGAGCACAGGGACGACAGGGTGGCTGGAGAGGAAGATGCCGAGGGAGTCCCTAGCTGTGAAGGTGACATGGAGGAAGGCCTGATGAGAGAGGAGGACCTGGGAGGGAAGGCCGGAGTTGATGTCGAAGATGCGGAGGTCAGGAAGGAGGCAGCATTGCAAGGAGGCGGCGAGGATGGGGTGGCTGAGAGGGTGGGGCTAGATGGATCTCAAAGGGAGAGATCGGATTCTCAGGAAGAGGAGGAGGGAGGGCCAGGTAAAGAGGCAGCACAGGATGGGAAGATGACTGAATCTGAGGGGGAGGGGCTAGATGGATCTCACAGGGAGAGATCGGATTCTGAGGAAGAGGAGGAGGGAGGGCCAGGTAAAGAGGCAGCACAGGATGGGAAGATGGCTGAATCTGAGGGGGAGGGGCTAGATGGATCTCACAGGGAGAGATCGGATTCTGAGGAAGAGGAGGAGGGAGGGCCAGTTAAGGAGGCAGCACGGGATGGGAAGATGGCTGAATCTGAGGGGGAGGGGCTAGATGGATCTCACAGGGAGAGATCGGATTCTGAGGAAGAGGAGGAGGGAGGGCCAGTTAAGGAGGCAGCATGGGATGGGAAGATGGCTGAATCTGAGGGGGAAGAGGCGGCCTGTTTGGATACCAGCCAAGGAGATGAGCAGCAGATGCTGGGGCCGGAGCATGTGACACGCCAGAGAGCGCACCGCTCGGAAGGCGGGGCCAAGCTCCCGGAGGCAGCAAGGCGGGGGCGGGGCTTCAGGAGCCTCGGCGCCCCCGTGAGGCAGGCAGATACAGGTGGGTGGGGTTTGAGGTGAGCGAACATCGAGTCTCCACTGCCCACGACTCCTGTTTGCTCTACTGCTGTCTTTTATCGCCATTATATTCGTATATAGAGTCTGACGGCACCGTGGAGGCGGCGGGGGCCAGTGTGGGCTGGCACAGCGGGCCAGAGGAGGCAAGCAGGAGCCAGACATCTGAGGGCTCCCCCCCGGCCCATTCCCCACACACGGAGGAGCCTCACAGCAGGAGGAGCTCGCGGAAGCCGGAGCAGTCTACGGCTGGGACAGCAGCTGTAACCCCGGGCTGCTCCAACTGGGAGAGCTACAACATCCAGAACAAGGAGAACCTGAGTTCCAGTCAACAGTTGGAGTCTCCAGAGGCTGAAATGCGCCCCCCCTCCCCAGCACTGAGTGAGCACAGCGCTGATGATGATCTAGGAGATGAGGACAGGGAGAACCAGCAGCAGAGCGGGGAGGAGAGTGAAGAAGATGGCTCCCAGAGTGAAGGTGAGTCACCAAGGCTACGTTCAGCCCTAAAGAAACACTGCAAATGGTTTATTTAAATGGAAATGGTGGTGCATTGTACACTCTATTACACAAGCATTGCAACTATGACTAGGATCCATTGTGGAGACTGCCTTTATAATCCAGCAGGGCTTACGTACATGTCGAGCTGAATGGGTGTCAGAGGTCACCCACGAAAGCGTAGCTCCACGCCCTGGAGGCATGAGTTGGCAGAGATGCCCACTGAGCCAGTGAACCGCACAACACCCGAAAACACAGAATAATTTAATATTTACAGTCAAAAGTTCTGACTAGTGAAACTAAGGATGGATGGAGGATGCAAGTAATGGTTTCAGCCAGTTTTGTGTTTTTGTGTCTGATGACAAATGGCACAAACGGAGATTTCACACTGCCTGTTTCCGTCTGCCCTGGCTGAAACTCAAGAGCTGTCCATGAAAACACCGGCCTTTGTCCGCCAGAAGAAGGCGACCCAAACGCCAGGGCCCGCTGTCACGCCTGGCTTCCTCAAACTGGTGAATGCACAGTACGTAGAGCCTGCACTGGACACACTGGGCTTGGCAGCTGGCTGTACCAGTAATGCCATGCTTCTGATGGGGGGGGGCTCGCTGTTATCGCCCAATGGGGCGTGCTTTTCAAAGCCACGCGTGTAACATACGGGAGCTCTGTGTCCTCCCCCAGGAAGCCTTCCCAGGCCCCCACTGCCCAACCCAAGAGGAAGCGCCAGGCTGCGGCCACCAAGAAGGAGACGGGCTTGCCGAAGAGCTACCTGATGTCAGTCTTCAAGCATTTCGCCAAGACCAGCGTGTCCTCAGATGTCTACCCGGTGCTGAAGGAAGTGTAAGGCAGTCGGAATTCAGGGTGGGGCATTGCCTTTCCTCTCTTGGGTGGGGCTGTCCTGCTGGGGCTGCCTGGATAAAGGCCCTTTGGTACCCACAATGCCTCAGTCATCTGTATGCTCTTTCCCATTGGCTTCATCACTTGCATGCAGTCAGGACCATGACCATTGCTAACAAAGCCTCACAGATCAGTGTAGGCTAGCCAACCAAACTGGGTTTATCCTTCTGTATTGGTCATTCGTTAAACAGGTACTGGTGGTTGCACAAAACCTTCAGCTCCAGTTAGATGCAGAGACAGCATTTTTGATATCATGTTCTCCTTAGTTCTTCCTCAGATCTCACTTATTACACCATAGGATCCCTTTGTCTGAAAAGGGGGTGTCGGCACAAGCTGTTCTGCCTTTAACCATGGTGTCAGTATTTCCTTTATTTATGCCTATTTCGTACTTCACTTTTCCGCATGCGATTCCGTACGCTATGAATTTTCGTGTGCAGCAGCTTGTGTTCATACTATATATGGCTGCAGTTGGTGCATGCAAACAGTGATATTCCACCAGACCAGGGGAGGGCAGATGTATTGCAATAGACACAAATACAAGCAGTGTAGCGAGGGTAAACTTTTTATGAAGTTCTGAAGTTATTAGTCAAGGCTTGGGCAGTATTATGGTAAGGTGATAAGTATTATGGTCATGAAGCATAACGTGGGATTTTGAAATCCTTGCAACAAAATTAGCCAGGACCCCTACCCATTTGGTGAATTTTATTACCAAGATTTCAAAATGGCGGAACGGTGCTGCTTTTTAAAATACCGTACACCTCAGTATACTGTCTGGACCGTGTGGGGAAAATTTAGATATGCAGGTACCTCCAACTCTCCTCATACAGCTGTGCACTGTAACTACTGTTACAACAACAATAACCCTTCTTCCTCTACACTTTTGTCGTTGACCGCTGATCTGTGAATGGCCACGCTGCCACCTAATGGAAATGCCTATTCAATCTTGCACATGCCTGGTTGATGTGCACAGAAGCACAAGGTTTTCACTTGACACACAAATCTGGGCTACACATGCCAATACTTGATGACAATTTACATCGCACCCCCTCGTCCCCAACCAAAAGCACACGGGGGGGGAGGGGGGGGGGTAGTGAAGTATGACTTGACCTTCACTCTGAAGTGCTTTTGCACATTTTAATACAGATCTTTGGTTGTGACAGCAGAAGTCCTAGTTGAACCAGTCAGTTCATGCTTAACTGCTTCAGTATATTCCAAAATATGAGTAAGAGACCTCTCATTGGATGCAGACCCTTAAGAGCCAGCCAATGAGGTACCACCATTTTTGCGGCACACTACCTGGACTTGGCTGAAGTTTGCAGGTGGGGCGTGTGCCTGTTCTCGTTCAGAACCCCTGATCTGTTCCACAGCATAGACAAGTTTTTCAGTCGGCTGTCTGAGGACCTGGAGGCGTACGCCAGGCATGCCAAGAGGAAGACCATTGAGTTGGAGGACGTAGAGCTGCTCCTGCGGAGGTCTGTTCCATTTCATTTGCGGTCTTTTGCTAAAGAATACCAGTTTTTTCTGGCATTCTCTTGTCACTCTCACTTGGCATCTATTAGCCTCTTCGCTTCAGAATCGCTGCTGTAATATGATACTGTAATATGATTGTTTGGTAGTACAATGTAGTGTTTGTTCGGTGCATACAGAGGCAATGATGGCGTTTGTCACCACTCAAAGCATATATTTCTGTGGAGGCCCCTGTTGGCCACAAACAGTCACTACACTTGGGGTGCGGGGGGTGGGCAGAAATGACAAACCAGCCCCTATACAGAGGTCTGGGCTGGGCCTCCTTCATACAGGAACCCCTTAGGGGTACTTGCTGTGCTTGGAATAAACTTCTACTATAAAATGACCAAAAATCACATTAGGTGGCTGTATGCTTTCTCTGTAATAGCCTTTTGTTGTGCAGACCAGCGCCCCCCAGAGGCTTAGATGAATACTGCGTGAAGTTTTTTCTCATCCTCTTTGCCAACAGACAAGGGTTCGTGACAGACAGCATGCCGTTAAACGTGCTCATTGAGAGGTACCTCCCACAAGAGTACAGGAGGTTGCTGATCCCCGTGGCAACCAGCGGGAACAAGGTCGTGCCCAAGCCGAGGAGGTGAAACGGCATGGTTGTGCTGGTCCTGATCCTCTTCACATTCCATTTCACAACTCTTCTGCTCCTGAGTGCCACCTGGCTGTCCCCCAGTGAAAAGGCATCAGACTGGTTCAGTGATGTATTAAGCAAAGTAGTTCCAAAGGACAGCCACTTGCATGTGAGCTCTTCACACAGATGGATATTGACAATAGTGGATTCAGGAACAATGGCTGCCCTTAGGGTCCTGTTCCTGAAGATCTGTTATATATTACACAAGTAAAGATGCAGGGTTTTGTGTTAATGCTATAAAGTACTCTAATAAATAACATTAAGTGCAATATGTTTGATCTTTTTTTTTCTGTCCTTGCCTGTAACCTGGCCTAGACCTATCAAGCCCCTGACCTGTGTGTGTGTGTGTGTGTGTGTGTAAATGACATGTTCTCCCTGTGTCGTATGTGGCCTGCCATGGAACAGCACCCTTCTCAGTAATGTGTCCGCTGCCTGTGATTGGGCTCCAGGTCCCCCAGAAACATTACAATAACACGCTGTTCTATTTATGACCTCTGCTGGTCATTAAAGGGATAGCATGTAGCAAAATAACGCCCAACCGTTAAGTTGTGCAAGCATCAGCACTGTCTTGTGAGAACTTGTTTCAAATAGCGACTGTTAAAGTCTATTTTCTGCTATGTGAACTTTGACAGAACATACTCCCTTTTGAATTGCGCACACTTATTTTACTACAATGAACATTGCAAACTAAATATACCCCGACCCACCAAAAAAAAATAACCCTTATTTGGAAAAAGAGAAAGTGTTTTCCTCTTCTATTATGTTAATCTCCGAAAGAGGCGTTCAGTTCCCGTTCTGCTGCTGTTTACTAACAGCGGTAATGTTGGTCGGAGGTGTCCTTGGCAGTAGTTCCTGGCACGTTAGCGTGAGTCAATGACGTCATTGTTTATCTGCCAGTTGAAGCGTCTTTTAACTTGTTAGCATTCTGGAATTGGTCCGTGAGTCCGTGGCTGCAACACCACCAAGAGAACCGCAGGTGCTGTGCGCGATAACCCTTAGAGAGGAAGCCGGTTTGGTAATTCTGTTATAGTACTTCAACTGCTGGGGTGCATTTCAAATGCCCCTCACGATTAATGTATACCTCCGTAGGATCGTTTTAAGTTTTTGGAGACGACAGAACTGTAGCTATGATAAGAGTTTTAGGACCTCCTACGGTGTTCTTAATTCATGGACATGGATGAGTGGTGAACCTGAGTGGAAGGTCTCCCACTTCCTGTCACATGGCAAATGTCTCATGACGTTTAGATAAGTTACTAATAATGAATATGTGGTGGATGAATAAGTGGCACTGTGGTCTAACACCTCTGGATTTTGGGTTCATTTCCCCCTAGCGCCTCATTTCAACTGTGTGTACGTTACTATGTTTTTGGTCTCATCCCAGTTTAAAAACATGCTGTTTAGGGTTCCCACAGCGTTTGAATGTCTGCCCGAAGACTGGCATTCCATCCAGAGACTTCCATCCCATCCAAGGTCTCCCCTGCCTTGTGTCCTAAAACCACCGCGACTGTGTGCTGAAGAAGTAGTTATAGAAGCCAGATGACATTTGGAGTCAGCGAATGATACTCTTCAGGCATGTCTGGATAACCCAATTTTAATAATTAGAAGCAAAGAAACCTTCAACTTAGTGAAATAATAGCTAACCGTTTAATGGGATGGAATTAACTTTGGAAAACACCTAAAACTTTATCCACATGATACAGTTCAGTTTCTTGTCATCGTTTGCTTCCTTTTCAGGTCTTACAAGTATAGCTCTGCAGTTCCCTGCATAAACCCCTAAGGTCATAGTAAACATTGTACACTTTCTTTAAATATAAATGTGAAATGGACCGTTTTGTTGTCTTATAGGCGTGCATGAAACGACTGTATTATCGATCACAGTTTATGGCGAACTCCAGATGAGACGGAGCGATATGGGCTGCTATTGGCTGGCTCCGTATGAGCGCGATGCCATTGGTCAGGTTCTGGGACGGGCGTGGCCAGGCTCGCCTCCAGCGGTGCGGCTCATCTGCGCAGCCTCGCTGCCTCCAGTCCGCGGCGGAGCTCTGGAAGGTCTGGGTCTGCATCGCTTCGTATTCCCACGTACGGATCTCATTGGTGACCCTGCGGGCTACCTGCGATTAGCCTACACAGCGACTGTCACTGTGAGGATTAACCCAACCTTCTCCCTGGCGAGCTTGGGCCAGTAGGTTTCCCCAAATGTAGCTGCGCGCCGACGGCCCGAGGCAGCCGAAGGGTCTTCTCCACCCACCTCCGCGGAGCGTTGACACCGGCCAGGGACAGCCACCGGCCGCTCAGCTCACAGCCCTGCTGGAGGTACAGAAACGTCGCCAATAACAACAGTAAGATACCGTGGCTTGTTATATGCATATTACATCGCCGTAGCGGTAAGTAGCCCGATAAAGCCGCCGGAAGGTAAAGCGCATCCCCCCCGGAGACCCGGCTTGGCCGACGCAGGCTGTCGGGGGCACCTCCGGCGCCGCTCTACGTCATTTATTAACTACTCTGTATTTTGCAGAAGAAAAACGAGCCGCATGGGTGTCTGGTAATGGGTTTAAATCTCTCGAACCGAAAAGGACGCGTGTCCTCTTGGAGGTCCGGTTCCTGGTGTCGGTCTGATTTACTGTCAGCCCGCGGTGCGCCTGTTAGAGTTTTGTTATCACCGGAAACCTTATTTTAGTTCCTGTTTAAAAAGACGATAGAACAGGTCGGTGCGCTGCGGGCCGGACAGGTGGTGCCGGCCGGTTCGGTAAACCCTGATACGCCAGCAACGGCCAATCAAAAGCGGCTTTAATTTGCATAGTGATGAGCGACCCCTTCCTGTCTATCTGATGGGCCATGTGCCTGTGGTGTGTTAACATATCTTGCTGCTTTGGTTTTAGGGAAAAGCAGGCAAATATCCTGCGGAAGGAGGAAAAAGGTCCAGAGGCAGTGCAGGTAAGTCACGGTCCGACATTTTCACCCTCCAGGTGCCGCCAGCTTGTCTCTTTGCACTTTGCTCCTCAAGCTGGACCCTGTATAGACAACTTAGCTGCTGCTTATTTGTGGATTTTATGGGTGGCTACTGATAATGTACTTGGTAACCTGGCCCTGTGCTCAGACTGCTGTGTGTAGCGCAGTGACTATGCACTGTGCAGGGGGGATGGCATCCAGTGTACCGTGTAATATCATAGGCCAGAATATTTAATAATAATTTAAACTGTGAAATACTAAGTATCTTATTCAGGGTGCTAATGCTAACACCCACCTTTGTTTTTCTTACAGCAGTAGCGCCCGACCGTTCCGGAGTGGCCTCCCGGTGATGTGCCACCGTCTGTGACGTGCCGTGTAGGGGGGCCATGCTGCCAGGGGTGGGTGTGTTTGGGACGGGCAGCACGGCACGGGTGCTGGTGCCGCTGCTGCAGGCAGAAGGCTTTGTGGTGCAGGCCGTGTGGGGCCGCACGGAGGAAGAGGCCCGGGCACTGGCACGTGAGCTGGGCATCCCCTTCTACACTAGCCGCACGGACGACGTGCTGCTGCACCCCGACGTCGACCTTGTCTGCGTCAACATCCCTCCACCCCTGACGCGCCAGATCGCCGTCAAGGCCCTCGGTGAGAGACACGCCTCTAGGCGGTCACCTGACCCTATGGCATCACATCACATATCTGGGGTTATTTTGCTCCGGTGCCCTGCGTGTGAATCAAGATCTTTACGAGTATGTGCACATGAAATTTTACATACTCTAGACTACTTGCAGTCAGAAGCAGCATGAGATGGAATTAGGTGTGAAATAATAAATAAATTCTGCATATAAGTAAAGTGATTTTGGGCAGAGTTAAAGGGTTGGCGTTGGAGCTTGGCTAGCGTCGCGCTCCCCTGATCAGCAGCCCTGCCGCTCACGCACGGCTTGTATAAACTCCGCACTGGCTGATTCGGGCTGATAGTGTGCATTCCTGTCTGTGGCGTCGCCTGCTCTCATTTGCTTTCCCTTCCCGTCCTGAAGCAGCCCCGCCCGGCTCACAGTTACTGCACGGCTGGGCTCTGTGGCGTAGCATAAACTGGAGTGGGGGGGGGGTGGTGTTTCACCCATGAGGGCTGGGAATCCTGGTAGGGAGGAGGTGTTTTGCAGAACAAATCTTAAAGAAATCCAGGATTTAAATCAAGAAAAACTTTGTCATATCAAAATATGCAGGCATTTAGTGGAACACAATAGGTTTTGTCTAAGGCTTCGCACAGAACGTGACGATTTGGACACATGGGAGAGCTTTTGGCCACGCCAACTGTTTCCCCTCGATATGTACTTGTGTTAAAGCAACTTGTTTAGACTATTTTCATGCCATCCCATGGCACGGGGATGCGGGGCGGAGGCTGCGGATGCTTCCCTCTTCATGCTCAACATGACACAACCTGATATGGATTTATGGCAGAGCTTTTGGCCGCAGTCCTGCAGATAAGCAGCTCAGAGAGGATTCCTTTCCATACCATAATTGTCTGGTTGTTTTTAAGTGGGCCAGGTGTTGTTTGCTGTTTGTGCCTCTACCTTTGATTCTCATGCTTTTGCCTGCAGGATGATATATGTACATGTCAGTAGCGTTGGAGTGTCTGTGTTGCAACACGCTGCTTCGTACTCAGTTCAGGGCACTTTTCTGAAACCTGCGGGCTGGGTCGCCTACTCCTGGTTAATCAGATTTGGGAAGCCTCCGGCTCCTCCTTGTTATATTTACCGAGGGAGAATTCCTGTGCAGTGACGCCGGCTTCCTGCCCCAGCTTCCGGGTGCAGATTAGAGAGCCTTGTTACTGGCGGTCACATCCACAGAGATGCGCTTCACGGCCAGCTGCGAGCTGGATTTCTGATATCTGCCGAAGGCTAGGAAGCATTCTTCTCAGCCCAGGAGTGGACGGTGCAGCAGGAAGTCTGCTGAGATGACCTCTTTCCTCTTCCTGTGTGTGGGGGTCTTGCATTCCGTTTATGATTGGGGTCTGATTTTCAGGCCAGACGGGGGTGGGGGGAGGGTGACCTGGTGGAGGGTGGAGGAGCTGGGCAATGGGGGCAGTGGTGGTTACTTATGGAAATCGGAAGGGTGTGGTGGGAGAGGACCTGGGCAGATCGACCTGGTTAATTCACGCGAGGTGCCTGAACCTGTGTGCCCAAAAGCTGTGTGTGTATTGGACTCCACCAGGTGATTTGCATGGCTAGCTACCCCTCAGGGTCACGATGTCATTGTTTCCTTACTGTTTCTATGGTAATGTAACTACCCCATAACTACCTCAGCAGCAGCATCAGGCAGGACAGACTGGTAGAGCCACATTTCTGTATCGTATGTTTTGGATGGATATTCTGCGATCAGGCATATTCGGCCTGTTTTGCTTCGGTGCGGATCGTTGCAGATCGCGATGGCGCAGTTTGCCAGGCCGTAGTCACTGCGTATCACACAGCGTTTATGTGTGGACGCTGCTGGGACGTCAGAGCAAACAGGAAGACGCAGGCATTTTGGCAGAGGGCCGGATTTCCTCCCGAGGGGGCGAGTCTCAGGTGGGAGTGCATTGTTCTGGCACATGGGTTGGCTGAAGGCTGCCCTTCCTGTCTCGGGCCACATGCGGTCCAGACGGAAACGGATACACTCCCACTGGACATGGACGTGCAGTGCAGTAGGCAGCTGATACCGGATCAGATTGATCACTTATATCCCTGTTTCTCAAAATACATACTTGACAATACTTGTGTTCCCACGTACCCATTTCAGGTCATCTTCCAGTTATATCCATCTTCCAAATATCCAGTTTTAAAAAAATATGAAGTTTAAAAGATAAACAAGAAATTATAAGCGAGAGGAGGCCATTTGGCTCATCAAGCTCGCTTGGCGAGAATTCAACTTCGTTCTTGGAGGGTTAGCAAGACCGGTTTTGCTGAGACCACACTTTGCCTTGTTGGTGTTGAGGCACACTCTATGGTGCTGCTCTGCCTAAGATATGAATGGTTATATTTAGCAAATCATGCACTTCTATAATTTAGCACCGCTCTCCTCCAATCGCCTTTGACCGGGCAGTGGTCACTGTGGCTAACTCACCCCCCTCCCACCCTTCCCAGGAATCGGTAAGAACGTGATCTGTGAGAAGGCAGCCACGTCGGCAGATGCCTTCAAGATGGTGACAGCATCGCGGTATTACCCTCAGCTCATGAGCCTGATGGGCGGCGTGCTGCGCTTCCTACCCGCCTTTGCTCGCATGCGCCACCTGCTGGCCGAAGGCTACGTGGGCGAGCTGCAGGTGTGTGACGCGCGCGTCTACTGGGGCAGCCTGCTGAGCGACACCTACGGCTGGACATGCGACGAGCTGATGGGCGGCGGCGGCCTGCACTCCATGGGCTCACACCTGGTGGACCTGCTGAGCCACCTGACGGGCCGGCGGGCCGAGCGCGTCCACGGGCTGCTGCGCACCTTCGTGGGCCAGAACGGCGCCATCCGCGGCATCCGCCGCGTCACCAGCGACGACTTCTGCTTCTTCCAGATGCTGATGGGTGGGCCCGGGGGTGGGACTGGGGGCGGGGTCTGCTGCACTGTCACACTCAATTTCAACATGCCGGGCGCCTTCGTGCATGAGGTCATGGTGGTGGGCTCAGCTGGCAGACTGGTGGCCCGCGGCAGCGACTTGTACGGCCAGCGCAATGGCACCTCCCAGGAGGAGCTGCTGCTCATGGACACGTCCGACACCGACCTGGGGGAGGCAACAAGAGAGATCCCTGCCCCCTACCTGAAGGGGATGGCCTGCATGGTGCAAGCCCTGCGGCTCTCCTTCCAGGACCAGGAGGATCGGCGGACCTGGGACCTGCGTCCCGTGGCAGCGGCGGCCTCCTTCGAGGACGGCCTGTATGTGCAAACCGTGGTGGACGCCATCAAGCGGTCGAGCCGCACGGGTGAGTGGGAACGCGTGGACGTGATGACGGAGGAACCCGACGCCAACCATTATCTGTGTGAAGTGCTGCAGAGGAATAATCCCTGAAGGGGTGGGTTCACGTGGGCTCCCCCGGCCCAGACGTGGACTTGAGGCGTCTCGAACGACAGCGCCTCTGCATATGTTCCGCTCTGCGTGATTGGATATCCTGCAGGCCAACCAAAAACCTCCCCTGGGACCGAGGGGTGGAGTTCGGGGGCGGTGCCGTCGAGTCATGAACTGGGAGTGGTGGATCCTCAGACGAGTCCATTGTTCTCTAAGGGTGGGTCTTCTGGAAAGATCCCCTGGGGAGTCCGTGTGGTTTATCAGATCCAACAGAACTTTGTAACTGGATCAGTGGAGTGTATGTGTTTAGTTTCTGGTTCTCCTTAAGGGAAGCAAGGTTGATGTTTTTCATCTGTGAGCTTATGTTGCCATGCGGACGTGGTGTTTTATTGTCCTACTGTCTGTACAGACCCCTCCCCCTAGGCCTGACCCTACCCCCCACGGCTGACTCGGGTGCGAGCATCAGGGGCCCTCTGAGAGCTGGTCCGTGCTCTCCCTATGTACCTTCTGTGTGACATCACTGGTTAGTGTTCCACTGTTAGATGATACATAATTGGACGATTTTAGGATTGTGAGTTTGTTTTTTCTATAAACAAAATCGAAATCTCAAAACCTGACTACTAATTCTATAAAATGCTTTCAGCTGAAGCAGAATCTCAGCATCATCTGATTGCAGCCGTAGCTGGTACTGCTTGTCACATCACTGAAACTAAGTCTGTTTATTTATATAAGCAAATTAAGCTCCTGCTTTCTTCGCTGCAGTTTAGGATGCTGCTAAGTGGATGCATGGGTCTTTGTCTCGAAGGTCTCCTGAAATGTTGCGGTCTTGTCAGAAACATTTCACGGTGAGTTACAGTGTAGTCAACTGTACAAGTGTAATGCGGAGCAGAGTGAATAGAGTAAAACTAAAATCTCCAAGGAGATCTTGCTTAAATATTACTGTGCCCAGTGATGCGTTCAGACTGGACTGTTCTATCTCCCGCCTGTGAGTGAGGTGGAAGGTGTTTACAATACCGACGACAGATAACCCTTTCATACTGTATGGTAAGTAAGTCGGATAATATTGCATGTTAAATAATTAACATTCCATTATTAAAACTTGGAACTGAACCTTTTTAGGTTCACAGATTGCCTAACATACAAAATAAAAAGTACGCTGGAAGAAAGCAGAGGTGCTTGTCATCATCATAAGCTACATATTGGTCTTGTTTTTTTGAATATTTTGTCTGAGGGACCCGGGTGGGTAATTTTTTGCAGATAGCTGAGGGTTTCTCTGTGTTCTTGGTGCTTTTAATTTCACAGTTTTCCTGATTATCATTCCATCAGCAAGCCTTTCCTTGATGTATCGTGAATGTACAGCAGTCAGATGCACTGCGGACCCGGGTCCGAGGGGGGTATTTGTCCACACTCTGTGCTTGAGTGCATAAGTGTCTAAAGTACATAAACTGGTAGTCGTTCTGAAACACTGTATTTATATATTTTTTTCCTGTTATAATTCCTGCTGTCTGCTCTGTTTACTAAGTTTGTTTAGTGCTAGAGCAAGAAAATCTAAGTGTTGATTTGATATTTATTTGTGCCTAATAGGGTTAATTTTAAGTGTTATTAAAAGTGTTTTTAAGTTGTTTTCATAAAAAAAAAACTTTGAATGCAATTTTGCTTCAATAAATATCCACAGTTTGAGTTATTGAAACAAAGTGTAATGTGATTGTATATGATAAGTTACAAGGTTTGCATTTTATAGCTGATCCCTTGCAGTGATAATTTGCTCAGATGCTCCTCGTGCTGTTTGCTTTCTTTGGACCACATTTACATTGTGACTTAATAATGACTCAGGAGGGAGTGCACCTCGCGCATGAATCAGGGCAGATTAACGGAACATCTGCTGCTTATTCAGAGACACGAGCATGAGCTACAATCCAAAAAAACTCTGACTGCATAATCGCCTCTGTGCTCTGTGGGGAAATACGTTCTGAGAGTCTGTCGGTTACTGCACTGAGTGTTCCAGCAGTGCATACCATCTATATAAAGAACCTTCATCATGCTCTGTAAGGTATTCTGACATTTAAACGCTCTAGGGGTGCGTAATTAAGAAGTGCAAATGTTTGTGTGCTTTCCTATGTTTTACATCCTGGTAGATGTCCAAAAATATAACAACTAATTGTCTAATAACCTAATTTAATAACCTAATTATCGTTTTAGATTACTTGATTTGCACTGTGATGTCCATATTCAATAGTGTACAGTGTCATCTGCATTTGAGCCACGTGTCTGGGAAGTACTTTTTACTCTGAGATTGCCTTGGGTTTAAACACATTGCCTGCCTGTTTGACGAAACTCGACCCCAGCGCTGGAATCCTGCACAGCCGGTTCAGCACCTTTCTCCACTTTTACCAAGAGTTTTATCACTTAGTTAAGATGGTTGTTTACTTTTCAGTCCTGTGATCTTCCAATCATATATTCCGGTTAGGGTCACAGGGGGCCAGGAGCCTGTATCCATGGGTACAGGGCACAGGACAGGGGTACATACTGGATAGGATGCAGGACACACACACAATCATAGCACCACTGTTAGCTTAGAGATGCCAAGTAGACTAACTGCATGTCTTTGGAATGCAGTTGCAATCCTATGTGACACAGAAGAGAGGTGTTATTTAAAGCCCCACCACCGGATGTGTGCAGTGAATGATACCTAATGAGACACTACGCTACCCACACAAGAAATCTAATAATACTGATGAACAAGAGCTCACCGGATTGCACTATGACCTCATGCCTGCAAGAGTATGCTTGTCGTCCCTGAGCCTGGGAGCATTTCCAGTGAGTTCTCCAAATTCCTGCTACCGTCTATATGTATGCGTTAGTAGAGTGTAGACTAGTGTCCAGGTTAAGGATGTATAATAATGCCTAAAACATAAATCTATTAAAACCAAAAGCTTTCCACATAAACATCAGCACTTCACACAAGAATTTTAATGTAATCATAACCATAAATTATTTTCTTACATTTGTAATCTCTTTTTAACTCTTTTTTTTTGGGGGGGGGGAAATAAACATGATGATATCCAAAGCTGCAACACACCCATTTACTTTTTAAAACTTGTTTATATTACAATCTGTACCTGCTGAGAGCAAATCACGCTCACGGATGGACTTCCTATTTTCGATATACTGCCCCCTAGCAAAGTGAAGCGCCATAACATATTCCACTGCTTATGAAAACAATTCTACTAAATCCCACATAATTGCGTAATTTAAACATTATTACACGAACAAGAAAATTAAATTAATACTAAGGACTGCCACACGCAGGACTGAACCCCCGCATTCCCGTCCGATGTTAACATATGACCCGCCTGAACGATGAGAGTGACTATGGCAGTGTGGGCGTTTCCACTCAATTCAATCTCTGATTGGTAGAAATGACGATATGTTTGCTAGACTTGCTTTTCTATTGGGTCAGGCAAGTGTCAATCTCACGCTGTTTCTCCTATTCGATTCAGCTGAACGAATCGCTTCCTGAAGCGAATCTGCACGAACGGCTGGTTGGGAGGATTCGCTCAGGAAGACTCGTCCTTCCCAGGACTCTCAGTCCTGTTTACCCCCCTTTCCGGGGAATGGCGTCCAGAAAGTGGAGCGCGGTGTGGCTGTATTACCAAGACGGCAAAGATGCGAAAAAAGTAGTTTGCCTCATATGTTTGGAGACCATCCAGCATCATGGCAACACCAGTAACATGCGCAGGCATTTGAGATTAAAGCACCACGCCGAGTACGCCGACCTACAGGCAAAGAAAAGAAGAGACGAAGTGGCCGGAGGGATCAGGAAGCAGCCCGTACCGGGTGTACAGTGCGGCCATTACTCAGGTAGCGGGGCGCAGGATACTTGATAGTTCATGCGGAGACCAGTGCCTGTGAGATCACTTAGTGATTAGTAAATAATTAATAACCGGTACTTAATAATTAATTAATAATAAATAATTAGATATTTGTACCTAATAATTAATCATTGGTAATTCATCAGTATTCAGCAGGCGGCAAGACGGCGTCTCTGTGAGATCACTTAGGTACCATGAGTTTATTTGGTGACCACGGCTAGATAAATCAGATTGCACAATGTGATCATGTAAAGGTTTTCAGTTTCCAGTAAAACAGCCGAAAATTCTAAGATTTATTTTTTTATATACAGAAGTTGTTGTATTTACCACGTAGATGCACGATGTTCTAGCATTAATTAGTGGTAGTCACCCAGTTTCGGCGTCTGTGGCCAGTGATAGGAACTCCTGTCAAATATAACAGGCAAAAAGACACAAAATATCAGGCACTGGTTAATCCGTGTGAACGATGAGAACGAAGTATTTTGGAAATTAAATGTTTTTTTTTTTAAGATACTTTCCCGGCAGCCGGCTTTGGACTGTCGTGTATCAGACGATTTAACAGTGATCAGGGGAAATACGGATTACTTTATTACGGACTCTGCTTCATTTACATCCGTGATAAGGAATCTGCGAAATGTGGAAAAACAATTTTTAAATACAAATTATAAGATTTAAAACAAGCATGTGTATTCTAAATATTTTAACTAGGTAGACCTATTTTTCCCCCAAAACAATTTCAGATGCATTGTAAATATAATGCGAATATGAATATATAGCAGCAATAGCCTGTTGGGTGATAGTACTAAAACAAAAAAATTAGGAACCGCGAATTTTGTTACAATTTTGTAACATTCAGTCAATCATTAAAAATATGTCAGATCGCTTGGTTTTATATTTTGTAGCTATTCCTTGCATGGAATAGCTGCCTTTATAATTTACTGCAATCTTGCAGTCAAGTATTGGTGTAAAAGTAGTTTGTAAAGTTGACTCAAATATTTGTTAATTTTGATGTATTTGAGCCCTTTTAGCATCATGGCAACACCTTTTAGACAAATTCTGCCATGAAGTAAAGATTCTGTTTATTGCACCAGAAACTGGGGCATTGCAACTGGTTGTTGCTATTTGCTCTCTTGGATAGTGGAATTACTTTAATGATAGTACATAGAATTTTTTTACCCTTTTAATCATATGGACAATCTTTTCCAGAAAGCTCAGATTCTGCAGTAGGGGGAGGAACCACAGTACAGAGAGTGCTGAAGAGAGAAGAGTTTAACGATACAGCCGGCGGGATTGGTGATGAAGCCCTGTCTCCCTTCAGTGTGGTATGGCTGTATTATCAATTAGGGCAGGAGAGCAGCTTGGCACTCTGCCTGTTATGTTCAAAGATGGGGCAATGAGATCCGCCTTCTCAAACATTTACAGAACCAGCACCCCAGGGAGTACAGCGATGTGGAAAGCAGAGCAACGGGACAGAGCCCGGAGCAGCGGGTAGCAGGGCCCACAATGTATTGCGCTTTGGGGCGGCCATCTTTGCAAGAGGAAGCTGGCAGGAGCACTGGAGGAAATGCAGGTGATTCTGTAGGAAACTTGTTTTCATCAGGTTCTCTGGAAGGGGCTGGTTTGTTGTTTCTGGATCCCCTTCAAAAAGTCACTTAGGGGGCCCCAGTCCCTACTCACATTCAACGAGTAAATAGCTATCGAGTAGAGCAGTGTTTCCCAACCCAGTCCTCGGGCAACCCCAGACAGTCCACGTTTTTGCTCCCTCCCAGCTCCCAGCCAATCAGTAACACCGAATACCTGGTATAGGTGCGCAAGGAGCTGAGAGGAAGCAAAAACATGGACTGTCCAGGGTTCCCCGAGGACTGGGTTGGGAAACACTGGAGTAGAGTCAGAAAATCATAGCTAACTGGCTGGTCAGCAGAACATGCTGCTTTAGCATCTTCCTAATAAGGAATGTGTATATTTAATATTTAGTGTGGTGACTCTTTGTGGCCAAAAGGGGGCCCTGAAACCTTAGGGGCAAATAGATGGTTTGAATGGTGGCACACAGCCACTCTTCTCAGGTTCTGTTTTCTCCCATTCAGATGTTATGAAAGTCATAACTGTGGGGCAGTCAGAGCAGGAGCAGATAAGGAGGGCCTTGGAGCAGGAGGCACGAGCACTGCAGAGAGAGAGGGAGCTGACAGAGCAGCTGAGGAGAGCCCAGGAACAGGAGGCACGAGCTCTGGAGCAGCAGCGGGAGCTGACGGAGCAGCTGCGGAGGGCCCAGGAGCAGGATATGAAGAGGACCAGAGACCAGGAGGCCCAGGCTTTCCAGCAAGAGAAGGAGCTGATGGAGCAGCTGCGCAGGATTCAGGAGCAGGAGGCACGAGCTCTGGAGCAGCAGCGGGAGCTGACGGAGCAGCTGCGGAGGGCCCAGGAGCAGGATATGAAGAGGACCAGAGACCAGGAGGCCCAGGCTTTCCAGCAAGAGAAGGAGCTGATGGAGCAGCTGAGGAGGGACCAGGAGCAGGAGATGAAGAGGGCCAGAGACCAGGAGGCCCAGGCTCTGGATCGCGAGAGGCAGGCCATAGAGCAGCTGAGGAGGGCCCAGGAGCAGGAGGGCCGGGCCATCGAGCGGGAAAGGGAGGCGCTGGAACAGCTGCGCAGGGAGCTGGGCGGGAGGGATTCAAGGAGGCAGGAGGAGCTGGGTGTGTGTTCATCAGATGGCAAGACAAAAGATGAAAGGACGAGGAGCAGTAGGAGCAAAACTGGAGGCAAAGGCTCATCATAATCTCTATTACAGTGATGGAGGGTCCTGCAAAAGGTTAGGAAGCTAATCTTATAAACTGGATGGGGGGGGGGGCGCTGTGGGGCTCGGTGAGTTAGGCCTCCCAGCCTGTGGTTGTCGGTTCGAGCCTCAGCAGAATAGTCACAGCTCCATTGGGCCCTTGAGCCCACCAAATTCTTCAGGGGCGCTGGATAAATGGCTGACCTGCACTCAGACCCCAAGGTGAGATATGCAAAGAGAAGCATCTGCACTTGTTCATGTTCATAAGGCAAATAAATGATCATTTTATTTCATTGCTATTACAATAGCTGTCAGTGACTAAATGCTCATATAAAATAACTACATGAAATAAGCATCATTAGTACCGTGTTAAATGAGGATAAAATAGCTAAAATAGAAACAAATGCATTAAAAGCAGGTGTGTCCAGACTTTGACTGGTGCTGTATACAGATTTGAAGGTTTGCGTTGTAGTTTTATGAAACTGAAGGTACTGTAGTAACAGTATAGAAGGGTCAGCCGGTCCCGGCAGCATCAGGGGCAGAAGCTGTATGCTCATGTATCTTTTACCTGATAGCAAAAGACTGAATAGATGCCTTCCAGAGTTAGCGGTCATCGTAAACACGCTCAGTGTCTGGCAGCTGTAGTCCAGTGAAGTGTTTGACTATCTTGACTGTGTGTGGAAAGGGCTTTTCGGTCAGTAGCAGAATAAATGGAGAATCTGGCTCCGATGCATTATGTCAGGATGCTCTCGACGGGCAACTTATACAGATTAACCAAGAGTTGTTGTGGCAGATGGGGCTCTTTTTACCCCCCTCTGGATCTAAAGGCGCTGCTACTGTGCCTTGCTGATTAGAGTGGAGTGGTTCACAGTCCATTAGAGATCCTCCGCCGTGAGTATTTTGAGAAACTTGAAACTGGCAACTTTATCTGCTGCGTACATTTATGTGGACTGGGAGGTGCGGCCCATATCTGAATTTCCTAAAGTCCATTACTAATTCTTTGATCTTCTTGGTGTTGCGATCCGTGTTATTGCAGAGCGCCACTCGGCCAGCTTCTTCACTTCTTCCCCGTATGCTGTCTCCCTGTCGTTAGACGGCAGTACGGAGGATCTGGAAGTGTGAGGCTACAGCGCTGCTTACTGAGTGACCATGTCACTCTCCCTCATCATTTACTATGCTTTTTACATGAACGTATACTTATCTAGCTTCTAGGTACAGTGAAGATTATTAAACCCTCATGTAATAGTTTACTATTATTCTATTTGCATAAATCAGAAAGCTACATTTTTAGAAGGTAAAGATTTTTAAAGAGTTAAAGATTATTCTAGTTAATATGTAGATAATGATGTGATGGTGTTTTTTTTTTTAGTTTATGACATACGAAGACAGCAATTTAATAAAATTCTTGCTAAACACTGTATTCTGATCTTGTGTGTATTTCTATTTGTGTGTGAGGGTGATTCTACGAAAAGGGTGCCCTGTTACTTTTGAATATCTTAATTTTGGATTCATGCAGGAATAAGGCCAATTATATTATCATAGACGTACAGTAAGTGCTCTGGAGCAAGGGTGTTACTGTGGGTTGGACATTGGCGGGGGGGGGGGGGTGGTGGTGGTTACATTCCCCCCATGCCCCTGTAACTCATGGCCATGCTCTCGAGCAGGCCAAAACAATTTGTTTTCATTGACAATGTGGTGCGTGCGCTTCACTTGGGCATTCCTGTGAGACGTTGACATGATAACCCCTGAGTAAAGATAATCATAGCTTACTAGACACCAGTGTATTACTATCTCGACGGACATAATACCGTCTTTGCTTCTCCACTGCTCTTAAAGGCGTACTCACGGTGTCTGTCAGATTGTGTGATCACATCTGCATGTGTTCAAACAAACTTATTTTAATGAATTGTGCAATTACAGGGTGGCTGTCCTCTCTGATTGTCAACCCTGTTATCCTGAAAAGGTAACAGGGTTGACAGTAACAGGGCTGATGATTAAATGCAAATCTGATTATTGCTAACGATATATCACCAGGCCAGATGGTCAAAATCAGAGAGCTGATCAAAAGTAATTTATGTTAGTAAAATTAAAATTTTTAAAAATCTCTTGTGGTAACAGTATTGACATGTTATGCTTGGACATCATAAAACATCAAGAAATGTAAAGTATGAATATGAGAAATGTAAATGTGTTTCAACCAATGTCTTTTCAAAGAGTCAATGCAGCTTCCTATTTATCATAGAATTGTGGAATAATTTATTTTTCTACGGGTGTGTCTACAACATGGTTAATAACATGGTTGACATGTTATTAAGAAACACCAAAAAAACTTAAATATTTAAAATGATTTACGTATAAATGTTTTTTAAAATTAGCTAAATAAAGACCGAAAGTGCTGACTAACCTATAACAGGTAGTCGCATTAAAGGGCTCTGGTCACAAACTGAGAAGAGTACGGTATACAAAACGTATAAAGCAGTGTTTGTAAGGGGGGGTCACCGTATGAAAATTGCCCGTCTGCAACTTGGTATAGCTATAATAAATGTCTGCTGATCAGCTGTTACTGGACTTTATTAATATTAAAGGTTAAACTTATTAAAGTTTATTTACTTAATGGCAATGTCTTAAGGCAGAACACTTGGGTAGCATTTTTACTAATAACGATGGAGGAAGGTGAGCTGATACCGACGTCCTTTCCCCCAGATTTTCAAGGATTCATTTATTTAGTTAAATTTTAACTTACTAGGAAAAATACTGTGTGCACCACTCCATGCCCAAAAACACGTAGCCTTTATAGGAACTGTCACTCTCGTGTTTGAAATATATATTAGAGGGTCATTTGATGACTGCGATCTGCACTTCACCTAAATTCGTCTAACCATCCAGGACAAATACTGTATTTTTCTGGTAGCATGTCACACTCCGTATGTATCAACAGAAAAGTGGGCATACAGGAAAACTTATGTAATCATAACTACGTATCACGTATCATCATTTCTTCATTTTACACTCAGTACTGTACCACAACGATGCGGACACTCATAAATTTCAATTGCCATAAAATCTGACGGCACTTTACTGGTAAGTGCGCTGTGCGCTGCTCGTGGGAAAAAAGTGGGGGTTGGAGCAGGCAGAGCTCAGCCCCCCTGCATGTCCTAGAGTTGTGCATACTGTGAAAAGTATATTTATTTTTACAGAATTACAAGTGAATCAAATACAGCATAGTAATAATCCAAGAATGTAGTGTTTTCTCATAATAAAGACACTTTATTGATCCCTGTCGGGAAATTTTCTTTTCGCGTCTTGCATTATATAGGATGATCCCGTATTATTAGGGACGGGTGACAGCTTTATTGCAAACTGATATATGTACAAAAAAAGTCACACACTAATATTTCGTTGGACCGCCTCTAGCTTTGATTACGGCACGCATTCGCTGTGGCATCTTTCGATAAGCTTCTGCAATGTCACGACACTTATTTCCATCCAGAGTTGCATTAATTTTTCACCAAGATCTTGTAGTGATGATGGGAGAGTCGGACTTCTGCGCAAAGTCTTCTCCAGCACAGATTCTCAATGGGGTTAAGGTCTGGACTCTGTGGTGGCCAATCCATGTGAAAAAATGGTGTCCACTCTTTCACAATTTGAGCCCGATGAATCCTGGCACTGTCATCTTGGAATATGCCCAATGCCATCAGGGAAGAAAGAATCCACTGATGGAATAACCTGGTCATTCAGTATATTCAGATAGTCAGCTAACCTTATTCTTTGGGCACCTAGCATTGCTGAACCTATAGACCTGACAAACTGCAGCAACCCCAGATCATAGCACTGCATCCACAGGCTAGAATGAGGCAGGATGGGTGCATCACTTCATCCGCCTCTCTTCTTACCCTGATGTGCCCATCATTCTGGAACAGGGTGAATCTGGACTCATCAGACCACATCTTCTTCCACTTCTCCAGAAGCCAATTTTTTTTTTCCTCAAAGAACTTTATTGAACAGCCCAATATAGCTTACAGATTTCTCAAGTATATTACATTACATAACTGAGCATATACAAGATCTGAAAATTTAATATGCCATCTTAATGAGGTACAAATAGACAAATTAAATCATGAACAAAAAATAGATACATAAAGTGAAACAAAAGTAAAGAAAAATAAAGAAATAGGATAAAAGGGGGTCTATTCATACAATAAATTATACAAGAACTGGAAAACAAACAATGCTTGTTTAATTTTTATGTATTTCATTGTTTTTTCAAAATGTTATTCATGAAAACTTCATGAAAACTACAAATACGGTTTTGGACCCATAGAATCTGCATCTATGAATAAATTGTTTGTCCATTAAAATTATACTACTGTATTATATATTATATCTCTTTTTTGTCCTGCATGACATCACCAAATTTAACATCTTGAAATTCTAGTTTGGGGAAGAGATTATCTTTGACATTTAACCAGTTTTGAAGAAGTTTGCAAAAAGATTTTATGTGGGTCCAAAGGAAAAGTTTCAATATCAGCCTCGCAAAACAGTTATTTTTATCAATGTTAAATCTTTTCCTTAGAAATTCATGACAAGGGTAAATATCATTCATTATTCTGAAGTGAGTTTCTTTAGCTTTTGGTGAAACGTGGAGAGTGAGATGTCTGGATCTAATTATTTACTTCTGCTCCTCAGGGTAATATTTCAGTATTTTTGTCTTTTCAATGGAAAAAGGAATAACCTAGAGGTCAGAGTATATTTTGTTTATGCATTTTTTTCTCTTTAAAGACAAATTCATCAATACAGAGTAAAGGTTGTGGGACTAATGTGTTATAAAGCAGCACTCTTTTTACCATATGTACCATTCCTTGTGGGATTGCCTTAATAATCACTTAATATTGCTTCTCAGTACATTCCAAATTGAACTTGTGCATAAAAGCATCATATTATAAAAGTTTACCTCCTTCATCCAACAGATGTAATAGAGACCAAATATCCTTCTCAACCCAATCACAGAAACACGAGGATTTTTTTAAAAACAAGATATATCAATTATTCCATATTGGAGAGCTGTGTGGAGTAAAATTATGGTTGTATATCAGTTTCCAATACAAGAGAACCTGCTGATGAAATTTGGACAACTTAATGGGCAACTTAGAGATACGGAAATCACGGCTTAATAGAAGCACAATGCCACCAAACCTCTCAAAAATTCTGGAAGGGAGAAAGAACCAGAGTCTTGTAAAAAATGATGTAACCACTTTAACTTTATCATATCATTCATTGCTTCATAGTCAATCACATTTAGGCTACCTTCTTCTATGGATTTTACCACATCCCCTTTTCTATAGTAATGATGCTTGTTTTTCCTGACAAAATAGATTTTTTTTTTTTGATTAATTGATTTAATCAAATAGTCAGGAATGGCTAAGAAGAAAGCTGGGTGCATAGCCCTAGAAAGTGTCTACATTTTAAGGATCAAAATTCATGCAAAAATTGACAGATTTAAAGGTTCGGTATCTACACTGTTTTAATAAGATCAGCCAGGAATTCTGCAGCTAAAATAAAAAGCAATGGGGAACAGGGGCAGCGCTGTCTAATTCCGCGATTAACCTCAAACCTTTTAGAGGTTCCATGAGGAAGTGAAACAGAACTGTTAATGTAATTATAAATCATACTGATTATTGTAATGAATTTGGAACCAAATCCGAAGCATTCTAACGATTTCAAAATAAAAGAATGTTCGAGGGAATCAAAGGCTTTGTAAAAATCAAGAAATAAAATAAAACCATTTTCTTTCATCAGGTAATTGTAATCAAGTAAATCAAGAACCAGCCTAATGTTATTATGAATGGATCTTTCCTTAATAAATCCCGATTGGTCTTCATTAATTACCTGCCCAATACCCGCCTTTAAACGGTTGGCCATAATATGTGTAAACATTTTATAATCAACATTCAGTAAGGTAATTGGTCTTAATTATCTATAGTTTTTATCCTCACCAGGTGTGGGTATCAAGTTTATAATACCCTGTTTCATCGTTGGCATTAGATTATTATTACAAATACATTTTTTAGAGCCATAAATAACAAATCTTTAATATCATTTCAAAAAAACTTATAAAAGTTTGA